TGTCTGCCTGGTCTTCTGCCCGTACCTCGCGTTCTTTCACATTAAACCCCACTTCCACCCTCTTTCCCCTTCCTGTTCTTCCTTCCTTCCCTCCCTCCCTCCATCCATCCATCCATCCCTCCCTCCCTCCTTTCCTCCCTCCCTCCCTCCCTCAGCTCTTCTACCGCGCTCTGTCTTGTTGTCCCTCCTCTCAAAGCCTATGGCTCGACTCCTGCTTATCCCTCCGCCGACTCTTTACCCCAGAGGAGAAGGAGGAGATGAGGAGGGGCATGGAGCGAAAAGGTTTCATCATGAGGGTGGCGGATTGAGGAGCAGTGGGTGTGGTGGAAGGTTGAAAGGCAAAAGGAGAAGAGAGAGGAGGATCGTGAAGTGAAGCGAAGGGGCAAGGATGCACGGAAAAAAATGGAAATAGGCCGGCGCGCACGAGCTTTTGGCTTGTGAAGGCAATAAAAGCACATCCGTATATCGTATTATAGGTATAATGTAAAATTTTAGCATACTTCTTTTACTTTCCACCGTGTTGTCGTAGGAGTGCCCCGCTGGCTTCTTCACGGGCCCGTGTCAGGCGATTATTTCCGACTTGCTTGGCACTTTTATGGACGGATACCGATACACGCCACGTCTCTCGATAATCTTTATCCTGGTGCATTAAACTAGAATGCAGCACATATGTTCCATTGAGTGATCTATAAGGTAACAAGCCGAAGGACAGGTCGTGGTGGGGGAATGAACCTCCTCTTACTCCGTATCAAGCCCAAGAGTGGGGAAAGCTTTGCATGTACATTCCCCATCCTCAAGCATCCATTGCCCCCGCGTAACGTACACCAACTGACCAGGTACAATCTTACGGAAGTGACGGAGACAAAGACAATGGCGGAAGCTCGCGATTTTACTACAACTGCCCGCTCGAGCCAAGGGAAGAGGAAAGCCCCCGGCGGCAACGCAACAGGGGAGGTTGTGGGGAGAGAGGAATCGTACAACACCATCACACCGCCATCAGATGGCATGAAAGAAGGAGGGGATGCCAGTGAGGCCACATGTACAGGACAACCGGAAAAATTAGTTGACGCCACGGAGACTGTGACGCCCATTTTTCCAGGAGCAGGGTCCGAGGAAGCAGCATCGCCTCCAACGACGGATGAAGAGCATGTGCCAATACCAACGGTGCTACAAGCATTGGAATGCATGTCAAAGGTAAGCAAATAGATCATGGATCCCTGCGGTCGTGATGCTTTAAATTGCAACACTTTTGTGACTGACTTCCGCAATACTTTCTATGGTCCATGCGCGTTTCCTTATCCTTAAGCCGGATCTACCACCTAAACCCATGAGCACATGCGTGAAGGAGCTGTTTGACTACATACAAGAGCAGGATGAAGATCCGCGCCAAGATCTTTACGAGGGTAAGAGGCGGGAGGGAGGGAGGAAGGGAGGGAGGAAAGGAGGGAGGGAGGGAGGGAGGAAAGGAGGGAGGGAGGGAGGGAGGAAGGGAGGGAGGGAGGGAGGAAGGGAGGGAGGGAAGGAAGGGATGGAAATAGGAGGAAGGGTGTGTGTTTTATCGAAGTTGTCGAGATTTTATCGAAAGGTGTTGTCCTTGAATTGAAGGAATGGATACAAACCCTTGGTTGTGTTTTTGAAGTGATGGATGCTTCCTTCTCACGAGAGCTCTCCCAGCGGTCGGGTCATGCGATGCCCGTACCAGGGGATGGGATAGATTTTTCCTCGAAATTTCGCAGCTGGTTGTGACATACTCCATCCCTCATGCATCTGCTTCTTTTTCATGGTGGGAATTCGGGGCATGACCTTCAGAAATGATGGGAATGGATGCGGAGGCCCTTGCCCGGCGGATGGACGATTTGCGAGCCCTCGCCTCGGAGCTTCAACGCAAGGAAGGTGAGTACCGGGAAACTAATCGGGTCTTACGAACACTTTGCTGGAAGGGGGTGTTGAAGAGATATCCTGGCACTATATGGTTTGAGGAATAAAATAGGCGACGGACGACGTTATGTGTATATGTATGCCACCGGGCAACGGTCGAAAAAAAATGCGCGAAATAAATTGCGGTTCGCGGAAAACCCAAACAAATAATCCAACATGTTGGAGCCGGAAGAGACGCGGCAAGGAAGGTAGTTTACGGTACCGCGATGCGTTATACTTGAAAAAGGTGCCAGAATCAGACAGAGTCGAAAGAAGAGGAGGGGTACATTGACTCGCGCGGCCTGTCTCTGGGTGACTCTGAAAGTTGCGCTCGACAATGAAGGCCTACCGAGGCCCTGGTTTTCTTCCCTGCCTCTAGGGTGGGAGGGAGACGAATGACTGATACAGGCGTCCTTCTCTTCTTATTTCTTTTCTTTTTCCCCAGAAAGAGTGCTGGAGAAGCTAAGGAACGGCCCGGTCTTCAAAACGGAATGAGGGCTTTTAATGCTCTTTATCTGTGGAGGGGAGAGAAAAAGAACAAAAAAGCGATAATGCATCCGTGCAGCGTTATTGTCGGGCATATTTTACGTTATCCCTCCGTCATTGCTTCAGAAGGCAATGTGAAAACTGCCGTCTGGTCTTCACTTCATTCACTCATCCTAAGGAAAAAGAAAAAAATAATTAGCGACCCTAAAAAAGATTCAAAAAGCTCAATAATAATGAGACGAGGGCTCAGATCCTACCGAGAGCCCTCTCTTTCCTTCCGCATTACAGAAGGGGACCAAAAAAGCGTTCTTTATTTTCCTTGGGAAAAAGATTACCTGTTCTGGGAGAAGGAGGGAGCTGAGGTCCTACCGAGAGTCGAACTCGGATTGTGAGATTCAGAGTCTCAAGTGATAACCATTACACTATAGGACCGCCGCATACTACGACTCGAGACTATCCGAGCATTCATGAATCATTCAATAATTTATATTTGGTATGTATTGCGTATGGATAATAGATGGAGTGTGCTGCTGTCATCCAAATTGAGGGCGTGCGGGGTACGCGGCTCGTCAGATGGCTCCGACGCAGCTGGGAAAAGGACGGCAAGATTTTCGCCACATTTTACGTATCTATGTGTTTTCACGGTTGTAAGGCTGTCGATTATCAACAGTATCGTAATTTTTAACCTGTCAAAGCACTTCTACACACGGCACCGGCGTTGCCGGAATTTTATTCCCCGTTCCCCCCCAAAATGTGTGGATAACCGCTGCCAGTATATCATCATCCCACCAAATTGGCTTGTGATTTGCAGTAAGGCACCAAGATACTGACACAAAGCAGCTTTCATACGTTTTTTTCCTGTCGTTTGGTGGTGATAGAAGTAGGTATATTTTTTTTCCCTCCATTTTGGCCTGTGGAGCCTTCAAGAAGGCTTTCGTGAATATCACAACGCACCCACTCAAGCGTTTTTCAGCACTAGAATGTAGAACTTTGGATGCGGGCATAGGTGGTCGTAGGGGCATACATGTCATGGCATTCGGCTTGAGTATTCGGTTCTAGGCTCTGTGGTCCTCCTTTCTGTCAACCTCCTCCCTTTTGAAAGCGCATTTCGTACTATCCAAATTGGATCATATTGCCCTTTGTGTCATGTCAACAAGACCGAAATACGCATTAACACCAAATACGCAATATATTATCGTAGCAGCTACTTTAAAATCTTCAAAAAGTAATTGCATGATGCAGCATGGCTCCTTGAGATAAATTCTTTACTGGCCAGTGTGACTGCCCCAAACAAATGATACCGGCTTCTTTTATATTCGTATCGTCGACCGAAAAAAAAGCAATCAATTACAACTGTCATACGTACATATAAACCATAGCCCGTAGCCTGGCATCCCTTTCTCGTGTCTCCCCCACCGCCTCCGCTTCTTCCTCGCCCTCCCCCGCCCTGAGATTGTCCCATGCCCCACCGTCCGTTTCGTCTCCCAATGCAGCTTACCACGTGACCTTCTTTTGCTTTCACCCCATTATCCAAGCCCTCCCTTTACAAGACGGTCTCCTTTTCTTTTTTGACATCGTACGCAAGGCCCCTCGACATCATCCTTTTTCTTGCCGTAAATACATTTTCCTCCCCGGCAGTGCACGGTGGCACGACGCATCGACGGAGTCCCCAGCCCACATGTATCTCGGGAATATTCGGCACTTTTTCCCCCTGGCAACGAAACGGAAATTAAAAATAATTGACCGTTTCAGGTAGAGCTACGGCTTCCCTGCCCTCACCGCCGAAGAGGGATTGGGGATGATGACGCGAAACGAACGCGATTTGAGGAGGAAGGCAAAGGGGAGAGCGGGGCGTACCCTGGCCTGCCCTCCCTCCCTCCCTCCCTCCCTCCCTGCCTCGAGGATGAAGGTGGCAGAGGCTGCTGCTGGAGCTGTTGGGGATGGGGGCGCCTGACGAGAGCCACGTGTTGGTAAGATCCCTCCTTGTCCATCACTTGCTCGTGGAGGGGTGGGGAGCGAGGGTGGGAAGGAGGGAGGGAGGGAGGGAGGGAGGGAGGGAGGGAGAGACCGCCAAGGCCTCCAGCTCCTCCTCCAGCCGCTGCTTGATCGCATGCTCTCGTTGAAGTTGTATCTTGG